GAGTCGAAGGAAAATCAAACATCGTAAAAAAAAGCTCCGAAATTGAATTTAAAAAAATGAAATTTAATTTTAATAATTGCGAAACGCAAAAAACAAAAAAAAATAACAAAAACGCACTATTCACACAATTATTTATTTCCATTTTTACGCAAACGCACGCGGAAAAACGCGATTTTTTTTTTATATATATTTCATTACAGCACTCGAAGTGCACAGATACAACGTGCGAAACTTAAAACTTGTTCGTTACATTTTACGCTCCGCGTCATTTGATTCTGTTTTTTTTTTTTTTTTATTGCTCGGAAGTCATCCGTAGATGAAACACACATGTGCAAAATACACATGATGTTTTATAATGGAAATTCTACGTATGATATGACGCACATTGTACGCGAAACGTTTCGACCGATCCTGTTCGAGAACGGGAACAAATCTCGTCACACATCGATAATTTATCTCGGGAACACTGACAAAACACCTGTTTACTGCCAATTCAGAAAGTATCAAATATCTTCGAATGTTAGAAATTAACCACTCAAAAAAAAAAAAAAAACAAAAACAAAAACAAAACAAAACGCTCAACAAAACCGGACTAAGTAAGCGACTGAACTAAATTAAGTAATAGTCGTATAAATGCGAACTGCATTGATAATTTGCTCACCGAAAGATCAAGATCGATCGATCGATCTTTGAAAATCATTCCCATTTTTGCAAAGATTAAACAGAGATTTCGTCTATCTTAAAAAGACGCGAAAAAATAAAAAAAACGACCAGAGAGAAACTTAAGTCTCTTGTTGCAAATTTATTTAGACGCACACTGTTTGTTCCGTGCGCAACCTAACCACGGAATGTCAATTACTTGTTTCACACGTCATCTTCTTCTGCCAATTTGGAACATCGAAATATACGACGGGACAAGCTCGAAACACCCAGAAAGTTTCGCAAACTCCGACGCGGCAATAAAATCAATAGTTAGCGCGCACATCGTTATCGTCGATACGTAGTAATTACACGCGCTGCGGTAATGCGACATCGCGGATGTCAGAGAAGCGGAAGGGAACGCAGAGAATGTGATTTGTATTGTATAGATATATAATATATAATATATAATATATATATATATATATATACACATATAAATATACGTATATATATAAATATAAAAAAAACTTATATATATATTTACGAGATTTACGAGTAAGATTAATCGTACGTCTTAAGTAGTCACATCGAGTGTACGTTTTTCGGTAGTTTTATGATGATTGTATAGCACACAGAAAAAAAAAAAAAAAACAAAAAAGGAGAGATCCGTCACTGTATATGACCCACTCTACTGTACACGCGCCGCGAGAACGAAAGAACTTGCGGTTTCCCGTGAAAGTTCACGTGAGAGTTTTTTTAGCGACACACACGCAAATTTAGCGTAGTAAGTCGTTGATGTACGCGGATAATTTTTTGATCGAGTTACAAAGAGTCGTTTGATTGATTGATGTTAATTTGACGAATCGAACGCGAGTTTTTTTTTTTTTTATAGGCACGACGCGTCGAAATAAAGTTTCGCGCAAAGTGTTCCGGGTTGCCCGGTGTGATGACCCGTGAAGGTTTATCTTTCTCATCGCCCTTTCGTCCGAACAGGCTTCGTGATTCGCGATTTGTGTCATCCAACTTCATAAAAGCTAAATATTATGGTCAAATAGCGTACGTACGAAACGTGGGCGCGAAAAGCGCGTTAATCGTTGTAAGTCGTATCGTGATGCCGAGTCTGAATATTTACCCTCGCTTTCGAGGGCGGTTTATGATGCAGAAATTCCCGCCCTGAGCTTCGGATACACAAACGACGGCATCCTCGAATATAAACTTCATGCGAAATGCTAACATGCGTTCGGGTGTCGTGTCATCTCGCGCGCGCGCAAACACACACGTACACACACACGCGCGCGCGCGCGCGAGCGCGCACACCTGTCTGTCTCCTGCCGCGTTGTTCAAACTCGCTCGGCTTGCGTTTTTGTCGAGTGCATCGACAACGAGGGGGTTTCTTTTACCCTCGGAGGATGATTGCCGTTAACTCTTAAGCACGGATACTTGCGTGTGTGTATGTGTGTATATGCGCAACGTGAGGACAAACCGCTCGCGTCTCTCGCGAATTAGCTTTTTCTAGCTGCAATATTTTCTCTCCCGCCGAGCTACGCACGGTTTTTGTTATTGTGTCGTCGAATGTATAATTGTATTTTATGCTCGAGAGCTTTCTTGTGACAGTCGACTAATTTTGATTTAACAAATTGTCAAAAGTACGACAGACTGAAATAACTAAGACGTGCTATTTTGCAATTCAGATTCTTCCAAAACTTGATATTTTACATTTTTATAGGATGCCATTTGGGCACTGCTCTGTGTGTGTGTGTGCGTGTGTGTGCGCGCGCGCGCGCGTGTATGCGCGTGTGTATGTGTGTTATGTGAAACGTTCTCGAGCGTAGCTTTAATTAGTGCATTAATTAGGAAGTTCCGCGCGCGGTATCAAATGTTTAAACAGTCTTTATCATTCTGTTTATAATTAAAAAACTTCTTGAGAGAAGTTATGATTGCCAATTGAAACTCTCTGTGCGACGAGAATGAGAAATTTAACCCTTCCTAAGGGTATATACACGATGTATTTCCATAGTTTTTTTAAGCGCACCAGAGGATATATTCTTTTAATTATATTCGTTACAACAATGTAACGGACTTTCCGTAAGAAAAAAAATAACTATTTTTTGTACTTGAGAGAGTTCACGCGGCGAAGTAAACTGTAATCATTATCAGCAACTTTTTGTTAATTTAAACACAAGTTCTTTACACAGAATTGTTGCGACGACGAAGAGCAGAAAATGTCAGACAGACCGTTCGGAAGTTGCATTACAAATTACTCGATCGTTCGTTACGTTTCTTAATTAATGATTATCTCGTCGATGTAATTTTTGTAAGCACAATGTAAATCACTTAATTTACATATTGTATATATATATATATATATATTACTTTTGTTGTACACATATTACTGTTGTGCGCATTGTTTAATAAAAGCGATCACACTGAATAATGTAAAGCAAAATGAAGAATTCTCAATAAACGTAATAATTAGATTTGAAACGAATCGTAAATTTTCAAAAGAGCGGGTCATAAATTCAAAACGTTGAATTAAATAAATAAGCAAGAACGGAATAGTTTTTGTTCTAAATCTATGATTGAAACACACGTCGAATGAACGATCGATTACTGTTTTTTAATGCATCCATCATATTTCACGGTTGATTGAAGAATGATATTGATAAGGCGATGCAACCAAATGTGATATTTATAATACCGTAAGAAGACTTTCCGCGTCTCTCAACTCTTTCTTTTTTTTTGGTCACGCGTGCACTTCGCAACACGATACGAGTCTGCATTACGAGACACAAGACGTTTTACGACGGTGTACCTTAAGTAGGTGTATAATATTATGTGAAACCGAAGTATATATATATATATACATATATATATATATAAATATTGTAGTCGAACGAGAGGGAGTGCATTTGCATTACGAGAACTTAATAAAGTATGATATGTTAAACAAACACATCGTTGATTATTTTGACCTTTCAAAGACCGTCAAATAAAGTTTTATAATAATAAGTCGCTAAATTCGAATGTTCGAACTCAAGTTTCTAATTGCAAGTCAATTAATACGTCAATTAATTCTTCAAGAAAGAACGCATGTTGTTGTCGCAAGCAGTTATTCGCACTTACCTTTACAGAAGTAATGACTCGGGAATTGTATCCTAGTATATCCCTCTCCCGTTGTGACGATATGTCGCGCGTACAGTTTCACCTTTTCATCGTGCGTCTCTCTAGAATCGCCGAGATCTTGAGTGGAATCTGTCAGTGACAAATAATTGTTCAAAGTTTTAAACTTGTTTTTTTATTTTATGTTAAAAGAAATGGAAATATGAGACTTAATTGCTACGAGAGCTTAACTATGTATATATATATATATAGATATATATGTGATTGCCGCTTACTTCATCAAAACTGATACGAACTGCAAATGGTAGCGAAGGAAAACGATGTGACGACGAATATAGACCGCTAAAGACTACCTTGATGCACTTTAAAGACTCGTTTGTTTTTGCTTCACGTAACAATTGTTAACGTCTTTGTCGTACTTGCACGGTCTGCTTCCTCGCGTTCGCGACATTGTTACGCGTTAACTTGTCGAAACACGATCGCGTCACGTGACTCGATTAATCGATCTTTAACAGCGAGTTCGGGGTAGTCCGCGCAAGTGTGATTTTCAATGGAAAAAGTCGCCTTACTTCGTTGTAAGTAAAACATCACAGAAGAGAGCAACAAAAACTCACTTTAGAAATTTAACGATTTCGTACGTAGTAATTCTGCCGCTTTATTTGCATTTTGCTTTGATGACGCCTCGCACACATTTTCGCTTTTTTTAGGTTTGGTTTGGTTTGGTGCATATATGGCTCAAAGGACCGTTTCAAGCTAGTCCATACGCCATTCTAAGTCTTTAGGAATCGTGACACAGGTTCTAAACCGTGGTTTGGGTACAAGCCACGGAGTTGTACGTTCGTTAAAAATACTGATAGACTGAAGAAATCGGTGTAAAAACACCGAAGATTGTCCAAAAATATCTAAGCGTAACTACGCACATCTAACCGGTACGGCTGATGCAACACCACTTTTTTTCNTTTTTTTTTTTTTTTTTTTTTTTTTTTTTTTTTTTTTTTTTTTTATTCGAACTACACATAAACTTACAAGTACAGCCAGTGAGAACGCGCTTATTTGTCAATCGCGCTCGAAACGCGCGTGCCGCCATCTAGCGGACAACATCGTCGACAACAATCGAATATGTCGATCTATCTATTTATTTATCGATAAAAAAGTTTAATCAGACAAATACACACATCGCCATCTGTGATTGCACTTGTTGTACCATCGCGCACACAATCGAGTGCAACGAACTCGTCGTAGCGTAATGTTTTCCTTCCTAAGCGCGCAAGTGTCATCTGAGTTTGTTTATAAACTCTTGGAAGTTCTGCATATACGTGTAAATCTTTGCGCGATGCGGCTTGTTGGCGATCGAACGGAAATGAATTAATCCTCGTTTGTGAGCGTTGCATTGCGCTTCGCGCTGCGAAACGCCGTTTTGTGCCTCGGTAAATACACGCTGCTGTAAAGACAAAGCTTAACCTTAAACCCACGCTGTTTTCGCGCGCGCACTTGTTGTCAACGTTTTAAGTTCTCGCCTGCTCTCTCGTTGCTGTGCGAAAAACGGCGCGATTAAAACCGCGCAATAGTAATGAGCGAACGCTTAGCGAACGCTTGGCAAACGTCGCTGGCCGTGGTGGTGATCGCATGACAGCATCGCTAACGGTGATTTAGGGCAGCCTAATTCTATGGATGGATAATGAGCGAGTCTGACGACACGGACGTCCTGCTCCTGATCCCGCCCGACGTATTTCACGTTCCGTCCCCCCCCGATTCGGACGCCAGCTCGGCGATTCATCAAACGGACCGTACCAGCGTAATCTCGGAGCTGGTCGGGCACATGCAGTCGCTCGAGTCCCGCATCACCGCCATCGAGTCCAGGGACAACAGTCTGGACGTGTCCGCGCTCAACAACTCGTTGGACTCGCAACTGCGCGACCCGAGCTGCGCGTCTCGCTCCTGTAACCGTCAAAACAACCCACCCGTAAGATTTTCCGTAAGTCAGAGCGCCAGCAGCCTGCAGAACACTCCTGTAAAACCCCGGAAATCTCTGTCCGTTCCCTCCGCTCCTGCCGAATGTATCTCACAGAATTGTAACAATTCTCTGAGAAACGACGCAACAAACCTGGGATGCTACATTGGGACAACTACCGCTACCTCCAATACGGTTAATACTAATTCCCCCGCGCGAGCCAAGCTTGATGTTCTAACGTCGCGTTCCGATCCTTCCGTGGCGCCTCCTGCTTCATGTGGTACCGGGTTCTCGCATGCTATGTCCTGCAGAAGGGAATCTCTTTCGTTACGTCCGAGCGATCGTTGTACAGATACAAGCAATCTGTATTCGAAACCTCACGCTTCTTTGCATTCAACAGTACCTGTTCTGTCGAACTTGTCCAATGCGTCGATAGGCCACACTTCTCGATCCAGAATAGTGCAGGAAATGGAGCTGTTGGAGGTGGACGAGTTGCTTCAGGAAATGGAAGCGACCGAATTAGAATTGTCGAAGAGAATAAACAGCACCGGCGGGTATCAGTATCGCAACGAGCCAGTTTACTCGTTGACCCAACCTGTCGTTAACGCGAGCAATCAGGAGAAGATCGGGCCGTTTCGAAAATTAGATTTTCAATCGTCCAAAGAGTCGCAGCTTGTTGACGCTTCATTCGTATCGCCCTCCAAAAAATCAAACAATATATTTCCCGATATATCGTTGCCGTATGGCAACTCGTCCTATCTCAACGAGACTGAGAAGATGATAACCGAGTTCAAAACGTGGGAACAGAATGCTGCTCAACAACCTGTTCCCGCGTCAAATGGATACGCAACAGAAAGTACAAATAGCATAAAGAATACCACAGAGTATTTATCCACTACGTCTTCCGCCGTGTTGGACAATACAAGATCTAAGGAGTCATTGCCAGATCGGAACGTTGCATTTACAAAGGAATCAGCTAAACTTTCTGAAGCGACTCCGCAGAAAGCTGGACAGTACAATAATAACACGGAACGTTTGCCGGATCATTCTAAAATGCCACAGGGCAATGGAAATATACACAACAGGAGAGACAGAACTGAATTTAGTAAAAGTACCGCACATGTTGGAACAAACACAGACTCTCATTTAAAGTAATTCACGTGGAAACTAAATTTTATTATACAATGATCGTATATAAAACTATTCTATGAATGAATTATTTAAGTTAACAAATTGTTATGAAATTTACTTTTTTTTAGAAAATGTCAGCGATTGTTGTCACTCTCCGACTTCTGGGACATTAATCCAGCCAGATCGCAAGAGGAAACGCTTAGAATCAAATTGGAAGAGGAGAAATTTCGCAGAGAGGTAGAGTAAAAATGAAATGTACGTATTTTGGGCGCGAGTTTATTGTTGTGTATTTTTTTTTTTTGCGTTTTAGCATTGCGAGCATCTGATTCAAGAGCTTCAAAAACGGCTGCTGGAACAACAAGAGAAAGTGGCCGTTGCGGTCAGAGTTGACAATGAGAAGAACGTTCTGATATCTCAGTTTCACGCAGCTTGGTCTAAATTAAAGCAAGAGGTCGAGACATTGGAAATTGAGCACAGGAACTCGCAAACCAATTTGCAAAGTGCAACCGAAAAACATCAGTCCGAAGTTTCGGAACTTCAAAGTCAGATCAAACGACTCGAGGGAGAATTGTCGAAGGCTTTGGATCTGGCGGCAGGCTACAAAGAGAAAAGCGACACCACGATCAGAGAGAAAGTCGATCTATTGAAAAATCACGCGGATGAATTGGAAAGTTACAAATTATTAGTTCAGGAAGCCGAAAACAGATATGAAGAAGTTAAAATCGAATTGAACAAGCTGTTGAAAAAGAACGAACATGGTGAGGAAGCGTTGAAGATCGTTCAAGATGAACTGAATAGAGAACATTTGAAGGGAAGCGAGGTGCGAAAAGAAATGGGTCTTATTCACAAGGCACTGGACGCTTGCGAAGCCGAACTGGCGGTGCTTAGACAAGAGAAAGACAACTTGCAACTTAAACTCAAAGAAGAAATAAACAGAAATTCCATTTTAGAACAAAAGAATTTATCGCTGCTTAAATCCATTGACGATGCAAAAAAAGCAGAGGTAACGTTTTATATATGATATATCAAGTTGCTTCGTGAGTCTTATGTGATTGCTTTGAATTTTTCAGAAATTAGCTAGAGACGAGACCAAATCTATTGTCGAGGAAAAGCAAAAGATCAGAGAGGAGTTGCAAAAAGTTTATCAGAAGCAGGTCGATGAAGTGGTGAAAGCAAAATTGCAAGAATTCCAAATGCAACTTGATTCTGCGGAATCTGAATTTTTGGAAGAGTTGAAGACGCGGCAGCAAGTTATAGCTGAATGTGCTGCCAAAAAGATAAAAGATCTTATCGACAAGTTCGTTCAAACAAATTTTCCTTTTATTACACACAGCGAGCCGGAGAAAAATCGTGTGCGATGTTTGGAAATTTGTTTTTCTTCTGTCTTATCGCGCGATCTTTGGCTCTCTGTGAATTGCGATAACCTAACCTAACCTAACCTATAAAATTTATTCTTGAAAATATAAACGTGATCTATGTTTTCAGACATCGCTTAGAGATAAACCTGTTAGAAGAAAAACACAAAGAAGAAAAGCGGTTGTTCGATCTGCAATTAGCTCAGGCTCTGCAGAGATCGGCTATGTTGGAAACGCACTTGAATTCACAACGGGCGACAAAATCTCAGCTCGCGGAACAGTTGCACTCGGTAATGCAGAAACAATGGCAGCAAGCGTTGCAGATTATCTCAGGTAAGTCGTGTAAGGACTTGCATTCGAGTTCTTTTTGCAAAAAAAAAAAAAAAACGTACGATTAATTTTTATTTGCTCGAGAGATCGTAGTTCGAACGTGTTAGACTACAAGATACGATTACAGGTGGTAACACGGAGAATTTATCTCCGCTGCAAAAAATTCACACAGACAAATATTTCGACCCTAACGGTCCCAAAAAATCCGAATCCTTGCCAAACTGTTACACTAAACTTTCTCAGGAACCGGTAAGACACGTGACTCAGTCGCAAAATCCGATCAGCGTGCAACCGGCTGACAATCATAACGAAAGCATGATTTCGATCGAAAACACACCGTTAACGAGTAAAAAAGAATCGAAGGACGACCTTCGAAAGTATGTGAAAATGGTAAGCGGGGAATTGGAAGAGGATTCTGTGATGAGAATATTCTGTTAATATTTACGCGCGCATTTGTGTGTGTGTGTGTGTGTGCGAAATTTGTTTGTTTACAGATTACCGAGATGCATCTAGCGAAAGAAGAGAATTTAAGACCGAGAACTAGCATCTCGAGTCCGCCGTTGGGCTGCAGAGAGGTGCCGCGGAAGCATTATTTTAAGAAAGAACTGAGCATAATGAGTAGCGAGGATAGCGCCACGTGGCAGCCAGTTTCCGAGGTTTGTTTGTCATTTTTAATGAATAAACAGTGTAGAGGATTTCCTCAAATAGCAAAAATATGAAGTTATCGGATTAATTAGCAAATAGTGCGATTCGTCGCGATTTCAATTAACGTTTGCTTGGAAAATTGTTTATAAGCGGCTTTTTTTGTTAAATGTGCGGGGGTGTTCAACACACACGCGATAAAGCAATATTTGAATTATATGACGTCATAATTCGTTCGATTCGGCCTACACGTTTCCCAGCCAAGATGCTCCTTCATTCATTGATCATAACGAATCAAATTTAATAATCAACTAATATCTTCCGCCGCTAGACGTCCGCGCGCGACATTAGCGAACATCTGTCCCTTCCGCAAAAGATGATCGCCAAGACGGATCAGCAGAAGAGCAAGCCTCCGTGGAAGTGACTCGTGACCACTGATGGTGACGATACCGATGGTGTGGACGAGGTAGATTAAATTCCATTTGGTACAGTGTACTTAATTAGCAGTAACGCCGGAGTCTCTCATTTTATACAGATCAACACTATCTATATTTTCTAAACGCGAAGAGAATTTAATAATAAAATGTTTTTATCTTTACATACTAATTTTGTTGTTGTGTTTTCGTTTTGATACTTTTTTCCACACTCCTCATTCTCCTCGTCTATTTCGCGAGATAAATGCAACGACGAGGATGCAAATGCTCGCGTTGTGTCGCGCTCGCAGAGGAAAAGGATGTCCGATTAAAATAATGAAACTCTCCGAATTGATAAGAGAAGAGACAAGAGTTTATCTCGTAGAAATTTAACGCGTGTTCGTTTGATAGCGGAAATGATGATTATTAGTTTACACACATGTGTTTGTACACCAACCGGGTAATAATTAAAAATATCTTCTCGCGCGCAACCAAAAAGTTTGTGTAATCATCTGCAAAAACAAATTGCGTAGTTCTATAACTTGCGGTTGGAGATATCGCTGAGTAGCGTTGCTCGTTTCAACGATGACGATCGCGCACAGTCCTCTTCCATGTGGAAGATGCGATTAAATTAAGTAAACTTTAAACTTAGATGACCCGAATAGGGGGTCAAATCTCGAGGTCGTAAATTTCAAGATCTTCCTTTTTATGAGAGAAAACGAACTCTCTGGAATTTCGACGCGTTCGAATCGCATAAAAAAAAACGACTCGTTTTCATCCTAAAGAAACAAAAGCGATTCTCTCTCACATAAAATCCTACAAACGTATGTATTTCGAAATTTGTTACGTGTATCCATTAAAAAAAAAAAAAAAAAACAATTATTTCATATCTGTGTCAGAAATATCGAACACGTTTGGTTGCTTTATGCGATCACACGAGCTAACGTGGTTCGAACAAAAAAAAAATGTACTGTTACTGAATCACTCGTCGATTGCACGACGAATAGCAATGAATTCACGCGGTGCGCACAATGTGCACGCAACAGAACGCGTCTTGAAAAACTTATGAAAGATCAAAATGTTGCCGCGCATCGCTTACGTTATGCTGTTTGTTCATCCCGATCTTCAACCAATCATAACATTCGCTCAACGAACGCATTGTCTTGCGTCGTCACGTTAATTTAAATCATCAAGTGTCGCGCTGTCCGATGAATATATATTATATTAATATAATTTTATTGTCCAATCTAATATTCGAATTGCGATCGCACTCATGATCGATAAGAGAATCAGCGAAATCTCTTCGGGTCAAAACCGTCCATCTATCTATCTCTTTCATTCGCGCGACGTCCGTAAAATCTCGCGAACCGTTTAAATAAGAAACGAATGCGTGCGCCGTAAACCTGGCGCGATCGCAATTCGACCGTGAAAGGATCGCGACGAAGTTTTTTTTTTTTTTTTGAAGAGAGGACATTTCTCCCACACAAACGGAGGAACGAGACTCGCGACGAGAAAACGCGCGCCTATATATGCCTGTGCGCTATATAAGCGGCGATATCACGCCTACATACGTCTCGCGAGTCGTCCTGGTCGTCGGGCGCCGGTTATGAGGATTCTACCGCGCCGGGGAACAAGTTGCCGATTGAAAACGAAAGAGCAGGCAAGAATGCAAAGGGAGGAACGTGATAGTTGACCACCCCCTCTTCGCGTTCGTTATATAGTATAGAGTAGTCATGAGAGTCGCGCCTACGTTCTGTTCCTTCGTCGTGCGCCTTGGCCTTTAGTCGCCGAGCAAAGCCCCGAGAGTCGAGGCGCGAGAGAAGGAGAGACGCGTTTGCGATAGAGTTGCGATCTCTTCTATTCGTCTCGGGGGCCAAGAAGCGCTTGTATTTACACAACGTACAATCGTCGCGAGGACACACACACACACACACGTTGGCTCCGAATGCGCGGCGAAGATGCATCCCGGAACGAGACGCGCGGGTTTCTGCTGGTTAACAATAGCGCTGGTCGTCGGTCTGCTCGCCGACACCGGCGGCACTTGGAAGAGACGGGAGGATAAGACCAAGTGTCCGAAAGTGAAGGGCATACGCAACTTTGATATCTCTGAGGTATACGCTCTCTTTCTCTTTCTCTCTCTCTCTCTCTTTCTCTTTGTGATCTCCGCGCGAGATCGTTTTGCTGCGCGAAAACGACGAGAAGAGTTTCGCGTTTTTTTTTTTTAATGTTTGATATATTTCTTTTAAACAAAACTTACATAAATCGTGTATCTGTTTTTGCATTTGTTGTATCTTTGTAAAATGATCGTTCACGCTTTTTTACGTGTCACACACGCGCGAGAGACCTTGTCTCGCATACGCATACAAAGGTGGGTCAACAATTTGAACTTGCTCGTGTTTCCGGGAGGGTGGGAGGGAAAAGGGGACTCCGGTTACGTTTTATGCAGATCGCTTACACGCGCGTGTGTATCAACGTATTGCGCTTTTGCAATTCGATCCGATTTATTTTCAATGCGCTTTCACTGCTACCGGTAGTCCGTTGAAAAACGGACGCGGAAAATGAAATTGGAAGAAATTTATTTAGAAATTTTAAAACCTCGAAGAAAGTAAAGAAACGCTCGTTATGTAAACAATAAAATTTAAACAATAAAACAAGCAAACAAGATCGGATTCGAGCAAAGGCAGTTGACACAAATATATTTAACCATAAGTTAAATCGAATGTGATCTTGTTTACTTGTTGTCGAACTTCAATTTGTGCAAAGGTATTAATAGAAGTTTTTTTTTTATTTTGAAGAAAAAAATCTCGTAAAAAAAATTCGAAACTCGTTAAAGAATTTAATCAAACGGGATTTTGAATATGCTACTCGCGCGAATCTCGAAAGAGAATCTCTCTCGCACACTCGACATTGTCATCGACGAAATTCCCAACATTTGCCCCGCGGTTAGTCATCAATTTCGCGGCGCGCTTTTTCGATCCACAATCCGATCGTGTTATTTATGTATATATATAGTGTCCGATTTGTTTGACGCGGCGCCTCATTCGGCGCTCGTGATGTAACCGCGAGATCGAACTGCACCGATACGCGTTATCTCTACTTCTGATGTGACTCCGAAAACGTATAATCAAACCGTTTTACCGTACCGGCGCGAACACGTCGACCGAATATTAATTATGTCCAGAGTGTTCGATCCGCGACTATTTGTTATTCGCAATATGTCGCGATATGTGCGCAATTTGCGTGATACGGCAATTAGAGATTATCGTTTTGGCGCACAATTAACTATCGGATCTCTCGAACGAGTTAAAAAATGATCAACTCTGATGTTTGATTTCTGATCGGCGAATATCATCAATTCCACCAGTTATTAAGTTTCCGTTTAATTTTGAGTCGGATGATTTCGGTTGTGAAATTAATGACACTCGATTTGGACAAATAGATACAATTCTGCAACAGCAGTCAGATAATATGAAGGAAACACGGATTGCAATAATTTGTTTTTTTTTTTTTTTTTTTTAGCAAACTTAAATTTGTAATCACAATTCTGTTTTTGTGAAAAATTACTTTTTGACAAATTTGGGCGAAATGACGTTTGAATTTACGTTGACTTGCGCGAGAACGTGTGTCGCGCGCAATTTGGTTTGACACTCTTCTTCTGTGCGCAGAACTTTCTTTTCAACGCGGTTCGGCGGATTTATATTTAGATCTTAATATACGCGCGCATTTAAAGGAAGAACTATTCCGGACAAGCCCGCGCGCGCGTAAGCGCGACTATTTCTCCGCCGGTTTCTTTACGTCGTAAACGGTGATAGATATTTCAACATTTGAAGTGATTTGTATCTCGCGCACCGGATGCGCCGTGATTCTCGTAGGAGGTTTTAAACAATCACAAGAGAGAGAGAAGACGCGAGAATTTCCGAATATAAAATGAATTATTTTACTTGGAACTTTAGTTGAGGTTTATTATTATTTCACGGCGTGAAATTTCAAGATCAGCGCGGAGCGTTAATTTAAGAAAAATACAACTTTTTCGAACTCTATCAGCGTTCTAACAATAAGCCGTTCATTTTTTTTTTAGGTCGATTGCGCGCTCGACTCCGCGACAGCGCGATAAGCGCTTGAACCGGAACGTAAATCAGATAAGTTTCGACTCCGAAGAATTTCACGCTTCCATTACGAATCCATGTAATTTGCGTGTACTTGTGTTTTTTTTTCTACAAAGAGATAAGATAAATTATATGGGAAGAAAATCGAGTCAAGAACAAGGCGACGATAAAAAAAAAAAAAAAAAAAACAATCTCTCGTACGTGTTTCCAACGCCTCGTTGTTCGCCTCGTCGAAACGCGCGCGTTCATTAGCATATATGCGTTAGCGCGCGGAAAATCAACGCGCGTTGTAAATTCCCTCTCGCGTCCACGATTTCGCATGCGAAACTTGAACAAACGCCCACACACGTACGCACGCACGCACGAACGTAACGAACACACCTTGCGCTTCTTGCAGTTCCTCGGATTGTGGTACATAGTACAGTACTACGCAAGCTCGGAGGAAGCTCTCGCGTACAGATGCATGAGAGCCGAGCTCTCGGTCTCGCCCGAGAACGCCGAAGTTACCATGAATTTCACTTACAGCTTTACCGACGATCCCATCAACGAGCTGCTCGTTGGTAACATCACGTGGAAAATCCCGTCGCCGGACTCATCACCTGCTCACTGGGTGCACGCTGAATTTCCATGTAAATAAAAAGTCATAGAATATTTGTCTAATAAAAGTCGTTCCTTCATCTCTTCTATCAAACGTGGACGTTTTTATTACACGGATTTTATGCTTTACACCGAGGAATAAAAATTTTGCTATCTTCTTAACTAAAATTTCTTTTTTTTTAATTAAATTAATCAATTTTGAAATGTTTTACAAGCCCCGATATGTTATAATTTACAGTCTGTTACGGCATGAGGATAATTCTAATTTTTTGTTTCTTATGTTTCTGACCCCTACGATACGATGTGTCAATTTAAAGTTAGCGCGAGTGTCGCTGTTGTCTTGGCGACGTTGCCTTTTGGTTAGTTAGTTCTGTTCTTAGATTTGTTGTTTTTCTCCAAACTGACTGCACTAGTTCGCAGTCTATTTTATCCAGTCTTTTTTTTTTATCCATATTAGAAAAAAAAAAGATAGACTGTGAACTAGTGCAGCCAGTGCAGAGAAAAATAAAACAAACCTAACGTAGCATCACGTGTACAAGTTTAAAAAGCTCGCTATTTTAAAAACACATAAAAGAGAGATATTAATAATAACAATAAAAATATTCATTTATACAAAATATTCGTTCACAAATTATTATCGCAATGTTTTTACAAAGTTAGATGCAAGATGAATTTTTAATGTAAAAAAATTGTTGTAGACGAAGGAGTGTACAATACGTATGTGTTAGATTCGGATTACAAGTCCTGGGCGTTGCTAATGCACTGCGCCGAGAAGAGCAAAAGCCCGCGATACTTATCGAGCTTCATCATGAGCCGCGAAGAGAGCCTCGGGCCTAACGTCATTTCTTATCTCCGAGAGAAGTTACCTAAGTACGTCTCTCGTTTTACTCTTCTCTCGATCGACTGATGCGACTACGATGGATTTATCTCTTCTCGAAAAATAAAAAAATTATTAAAAAAATTAAAATTAATCTTTCGAAAAATATTGATTTTTTTTGAAAGATTTTTTTTATTTTGTTATTAAATTCCGCAGATACGATATCGATTTGGAGTACATGTTTCCCATGGACCAAAAGCAGTGCAATAAGACGGACAATTTGGAGGATATGCTTATACCGGGACTGGTGTTACCCAAGCGAAACTACGCCGCCAGGAGACACCCGCTGAAACGGAAACACAGGCGTCAATGAAGCTTAAATTACACAAGAAAAACTCGATTTTTTTTTTTTTTTTTATTTCTTTGGGCTAATTTTATTAATTCAATTAACAACGTGTTATAATATTCTTCGTCTTATTTATCTCCTTCCTCTTATTTATAATTACATAAGTGTAATTAATTTGTTATTGTTTTCTTTAGAACCGTCGTCTCTCTCTCTCTCTCTCTTTCTCTCTCTTTCTTTCTCTCTCTCTTTCGCTCTCAACATCTTAGCTCACAAATCATAAATTGACACACACGTGTAGCAAGCACGTACTGTCGTCACGTTCACCAATGTCGTCAATGTCATTAATCATTTATCATCATTTATCATCGTAACCATTATCTCTCTCGTATCAGTATCATCATTTTAATATCATTAGCGTAACAGTCGTCGTCGGAGTCATCACTCAACGCACCTAGTACTTAATTACTGGATATGGCAACTACACACAACTTATAAGAAATATTACAAAATCACTTGTGACTCTCATTCTTCATATTCACGCTTTCGCAACATTCGAACGCGCATACATATCACACCGACGGGCGACACCGTTTTTTTTTTTTTTTGCTCCCCACATAATGCGCGAACATCACGAAACTCACACCCGGTGAGAAGAGCGGATTCTCCCGGCCCGGTCGTCAGGACAAATTCGGCGAGGCGTCTTGACTTTGTTTTTTTTTTTTTGTCTTGCCGCCGACTTGCGACTTCTTAAGTATATATATATATATATATATATATATATGTATATATAATGTACTCGGCGATCCCGTTGCGATCGTTCGTAGCACGAAATAATATAGGAAGATTGCACAGAGGGAGGAGGGCAGGGAAAAACACACCAAGACGCGCTCGCGCGATGAGTTTCGCTTTATGTTTCGAAGGAGATCGTGTCGCGACGACCGCGCGCAAAAGACAACAGGTCGATGGGATGCCCCGGAACGGATATCCGCAACGTCGTTTTTTTTTTTTTTTTTTTTCGTTTTCCGCTGAAACTGCCACACCACAAGTATCGCAAGTACACGCGCATTCATTCCTTCGTTCTACGGGCAATATGCGTATGCACAAATCACCTATTTTTAGTTCCTAATTAATTCTGTTTCTTTAGTATTAATTAATCATATATTTTTTTTTTTTTTAATTCTGATTTTTGAATTGCTTATAAATTAATTTTATCTAGTCGTTAAATCCGTTTTATCCTCGTAAATGACTTGCTTCTTCACTTCGCGCGCTTTTTTTTTCTCTATAGGTGCGCGTGTATGTGTGTGTGTGTGTGTATCGAATAGATAACGTGTGTGCGTTTTTTTTTGTGTTGTTATATACGCGCGTGAGTGATAATATCGTTTACTATGTCCGTGTGTGCGTGTGTGTGTGTGTGTGTGTTTCTCCGCGCGAGACTGTCCTCTCGTAGGTATTTTTATTTACTTCTCATATTAGCTGGTATACAGACTATCTATTTATTTTGAAATTTTACGTTTTATAAATATCCTATAGTAAACCGTGGTTTTTTTTTCTCTGTTGTTTTTATTTACTTCGTCCTTCGGTTATGCGCTTTTGTACGAGGGTGTAAGTTAATGCGAAACCGAGTGATCTTGCAGTTTTTTTTCACGTGTGTCCTAAGTGTGGCGAATGGTACGTTTATATGCGTGTGCGTTTTGTGTGTTTGCGTGTTGTGTTTTCAACTCGTGCGCAAAAATTAAATAAATCGCATACAAGTACTTCTTTTTCGAGCAAGCGTGAAATTTCTCGCTATCGATATCCGCCGTCCGTGCATTCGTCCGATTCGGGGGTTTCGGATACGCAGAATATCCAAGTCGGAATGATCGTCGGGAGTAGAGAAAGAAATGATGATTTGAGCTGCTTTCGAGAAAGGTGAAACGACGAATGAAAGAACTCGCGGGGGCACGAACGCACGGTCAAACAAGCAGCAAACGGCGGTCCCGATTGTCGGAAGCGGAAAGAGATAGTGCTGAGAGAAGCCCGGTTTGTGTGTTGAGATCACAGACGCAGGAGGGACCAAAGAGAGAGGAAAACGAAAGAGAGGGATATTGGAATATACAAAAGACGAATGAAAAAAGCGCTGGTGCATACGCGCGAATCCGTCGCGGCGGTAATTTATCTCCGCGCGACAGAGAGATGATGACACTCGGTAGATATTTAGTTTAGAAGTACTAGATGAAACCGGCGAAGTTCTCTACTGCTTAAAAGTTAAAAGTTAAATGACGGACGGCCGGCAGCACACCAGTTCGCGTTCTTCTTCTATTATTTTTTTTTTTCTTCTTAAACGGTTAGACGAATTTTTTTTTTCTTCGATATTTATTTCGACGGGATATCCTCGTCTCTTTTTTTGCTACAATTTATAATTTCTATTACTTTTAAACGGGCAACTGCCGTGCCGCACGCGATCTCTAGTTTGTTTTTTTCGTTTAAATAGTTTTACGATAAAGTTACGATAGGAGGCAATTACAGTTTTTTTTTTTTTTTTTGTTTTTTTGTTTTTTGTTTTTTTACGGAGAGTCGACTGAGATAGATGCCGCAGATAAAGAGGCGTGCGTGCGAAGATGCGGCCGTTCGGTTCGAAGCACCGAAGCGCGGCCGCGTTTGCTTCTCGCGTTTTCCGGTTTTTTCTTCCCGCGGATTCCGCAGGATCTTCTCTTTGGTGCGTTGTTTTTTCTTTTTTTTTTTCACGTTACCGTGTTACGTAATATATCGCTGCACGTGACTCGCGTCGTGAAAAACCAGGAATGTGTCGAGAAATGCGACAGATTGCGTGTGTATGTGTGGTATGTGTGTGGAACAGAGAGAAAGAAACTACCTCCCCGTTCGAGAGACGTTCCCGACGTTGATATATCGGCGGTTTCATCAGTTTAATCCCTCGACGTAGGAAGGACAGGAACACAGGGGAGAAGAAGGTGCTGGAGAAGTTGGTGGTCCGCGAGAAAGCGTCCGTTTTTTTTTTTTTTTTTTTCCCAGACGCGTCGTGACGTCGTCGTCGTCACTATAATTTCCGTCGTGTTCGATGATGACGTTCTCTATGTTTCTAAAAAGGTCCGATGTCTCGCGATGTTGACGACTTGATATATAATTGCTGCTCGTCGACGTCAGGACAACTTCGGACACATCGCTCTCTCCTCCATGTCGCGCGACTCGGTAATAAACAACTACGCAGCGATGGGAAAGAACTTTATGAACACACTGCTATCATTATCGTCGTCGTACAGTCACATACTCCGGTCTCGATCGTTTTTTTTTTTTTTTTTTTTTCACTTGGCGACTGGCGACGAGATTTACATTTTGCCGGTATTTTGTTTCCGGCTGGCAAACGACGCGATTGCTTTGTTGACGTGTGTTGTTGTTTGAACAACGGCGATCTTCGCGACAAGAAAGTTCGAGGTGATCGGTGTTCACGATTATATTATTAATATTTCGCCCTCGACGAGCCGTTGCAGTCCGCGGTGACGACCTGACGAATCGGCGAGGACCGCTGTCAGTAGACCCAAGAAACGGGCACCCACTGTGGTGTCGTGTGCACGCGCTCGATCGCGGCCTCCAGCTGGGCGATCGTCTCGTCGAGGTCGTTGTTGACGATCGTCAAGTCGAAGAAGTGGCCGTACGCCTGCTTCAGCATGTCCGATTCTTTCGCCAGCCGTTCCAGACTGCCGTCGAACTGAAATGAGAGAGAGAGAGAGAGAAAAAAAATTACTCTTGTTACTAATTATTTTCACAGACGACCAGATCTCTAATTAATATTGATTTAAAATTTACTTCGCGCGAGCGTTTTGCTTATATAAGCGAATATTATTCTGAATAATCGCGAACAATATCTCTGAGCGCGCGTTCAACTCTTTGTGTCGAGGAGAGCTTTGGACGAGATATTCTCTCCGCTGTAACGTTTACGCTTTTTGACGATTTCCTTCCGCGGTGCAATCGCGAAGCTAGTCAATCGAAACAAATGAACCAATAACTGTTCGATTACTCCGTTAAATTCATTTGTAGAGCAACGAATATAATTCACCCAATTGTTTAATTGGCGTGTAAGCATAGCTGTGCTCAGACTGCGAATCGACGGTCGAGATTATTCAGCGCGTGTGGGGTCAGAGAATATTTGCAGATATCAGTGTTTCCTGTACGAACTCCTTGATAAGCTCTTCAACGTTTCGAAACTTGTAACCGTGCCGTTATATAGAACGGAATCTCGTTGAACATTAATCTCGCTTCGCGTAGCAATCGCTTTGAGAGAAAGACTTAAAATAATTTTATTGAACAGATAGTTAAAAATGACAAAAAAGCGTTCAAGAATGTCCTTTATAGGCGCGTGACTACTCTTTTGATTAATTATTTTTTTTCGTACCGTGTAATTTTTAATAAATATAAGAAATAAACGCGCGCGCAACAAAGTATATTTGAAATATAACGAGAGTTAATTTTCGCGAACTTGACTAATTTTTTTTAAATTAGTGAAGTTCACAATGAGTGCAATTAAATGTTTCACATTAATGTCGCCATATATCGTACAATATTACAAAGCGACACAGGCATTTTAGCCACACGCAAAATATTTTGTATATTTTATAACAAATTCACAGTGCGTTTATTTTCCGTTGTACTGAACTCACCGATAAATTTTATATTGTGATATAATGCGCTCGCTATTTGTTGGATGCGACCTATCGCTGCAAGAAATATCCGAAATATGCGATATACGCCACATACAAATGTGTTCCTTGTGTTCGTGAAGAGTTATTGTCGTACTTACGTCCGTAACGTTCGCGAACGCCGGCGCGCCGATGAAGACGACGTAAGGTGCGAATTCAGCTGTTCGTAGAATTTTCAACGCCTGCGGCTCGACATCCAATATAGCCATCTTGCCCTCTTCGTGAATTTTGCGAATTGTTTCGAGCTTGGTTCCGTACATAGCTTCTTCGTGCGTACCTGTGTGTGTTCGCCGAATAAAAAATTAACATGTATTCGATCGGCACATCAAAAGCGAGATCTCTTTAAAAAATATATGTATATATAGCTTACCGTATTCGAGGTATTCATTAGCAGCTATGTCCGCCATCATCTCTTCGTGCGATATGAAATAATAATTACGACCATTTTCTTCGTCGCTTCGTGGAGACCTCGTTGTATCTGCGGAAAAAAAAATATTTGATCAAGGTTTTACGAGTTTTGCATATTTTTTTTTTTTTTTAATCTCATTCTATACAGGGTGTCACCAAAAAATCATCCGCAATACTTCGGGAAGTGATTGGGGATCCAAAACAAAAAGAAAAAAAGTTTATATCCCCAATCACTTCCCGAAGTATTTTGTGCGGGCGATTTTCCGCCGACATCCTGTACCATACATTTCTTTTGACTCTGTAAAGAAAAATCTGTGATAGGATTTGAATAACAAGATTTGAAACCACTTACGCGGAATAGGATAGGCGTATTTATCGGGATGCTTGGAGATAATAGTATTCTTTATGTGTCGTCGACCGACGCCATGTGCTCCCAATAATACTAAAGTTTTCCGTTGGAAGGCAGGATCTGTAAAAAAAATAAAGACACAATTTCGAAAATTGCATCTTTTTTTTATGTTACGGCAATTCGTGTGAGATTTTTAGAAAAATAGAGATTTAGTTTGAAAATTTGGAAGAAAAATGATTGACTAGCGAATAGATTGAAACAGACGTTTATATATGCGTTAAATTTAATATTTCTCATCGAACGTAGAGAGACTTACAAGGAAGCTTCACGACCTCTTCGTAGGTCACCAGGTCCAGCTGGTCGAAAACGGCGTTGTGCTTTGCAAGATATTTATCCTTGTATTGCTTCTTTTTCCGGCCGAATATTGAGCAATTTACTGCAAGTAGAGAGAATCGTTAAATACGCCGGTACCGGAGAAAGAGAGAAATAGAGAGAGATAGGTAGATAGATAGATAAATAGACAGATAGATAGATAGATAGATAGAGAGAGAGAGAGAGAGAGAGACGGGACACGATCTACCTCTGTTCTCAAAAATAATTTGCCCGGTGTAAACTTGCAAATTACTGTGCAAGTGTCATGTTACGGAATCCATTATCCGTGCTAACTAACGAGTTCCGTGCCTTTGTAGTGAACGACCGCTAAATCAAATTTTAAAGGACGATCACAACAGCGCGGCTGCACAGCCGGAGATATAAAAAAAAAAAAAAATTATATAAAATATATATGTACATGTATAAAAAAAGAAAAAAAAACAAATCAGTAAAGTGAGACGATGACTACTTTTTGTAATAATTAATAGAACTATAAAAAAAAAAGATCTCAATACGCATACAAAAAGAACTCGCTAATAATTTAATTTGCGTTATGTTGAAAAGAGAGCGAGAGAAAACAAAATTATATCGAGTCCGCAGAAGCCAGTTGCGTGTAAAAAGTCGTTCGCATTTGCTAAAATGCTTCCCGATCGCTTTTTTATCTAATAAACGCCTAAAAACAATTTGCGTTTTCATTGTTCTCGGATCGGAAACGCATCGCGACCGACCGTGTGCGCGCTAAAGAAAAAGTTTATACATAGCAGTCTTTCTGTGAACACACTTGAAAAAACGATCGAATATAATAATCTCTGCATCACACACCGAGACACACACGGCGAAACTACTGCTCTGCGATTATATAATACGCATCGTTTCCTGAGTCAAGCAAAGAATTCTTTGTCTAATTGATAAAAAAATAATAAAAAAAGAAAAAAAAAAGAGTTTCATTCCGTCATCACAAGCCGCAAGTTCGAAAAAAAGCCATGCCCAGAGGCACTCGGGAGTTTTCCTATTGAAAAAAAGGGGTGGTTGTTCCAGCAGGTCACAATGATGACAACGTTATTACAGATTAAGAATCGCAGTGAGAAATTGTGTTGAGAGATCTCGAACGGGGGACCCCGTCACAATCGAACGCGAATTGCCTCGCGAGCGATTTTTATCTCCGAAGCGATTACAGAGAACTGCTGAATATATATCTATATATATATATATATCGGGAGATTCGTGTGTGTGTGTGTGTGTGTGTTTGTGTATGTGTGTGACTACAAGAACGTATTTCGAAGCTGCATGTGATGGCACGTGACTGTAAGCGATATCTTGCCAAAATACACGTAAGATGTTATCAATGATAATAGTTGATTGAGAGAAAGAATGTTTATCTCGCGATGTGTGTGTGAAATAGAAGAAAGTCGAGAGGTTTTGGCAAGATAATCGCGATATAAGCGTGACTGACGAATATTGAAAAAATCGATCGACTATCACTATCACATAAGCTCCGACGAGAGAGAATCGTGCTGCGATGAGTGATATGCGAGAGTGAAATCGTGCGAGAGAAAGAGAGGAGAGAGAGGAAAGAGAGAGAGAGAGAAAGAGAAGCGTGGGTGCATGGAATGTATATGCAGCATGCATTAAAGTTACGCTGCGTAAAAGCATCTATTAATTTATGACATAGAATATATATCAGAGTATATATATATAATATATTAATTAGAACGCTTGTAAGTATAATCGCGTCGCGGGGCGCGCGAAAAATTTCATCTACGCAGCACATACATAGATCTGGAAAACGAAAACTTCTGGGACAGAGGCTGATATTGTAATTCTCGATATTCTTATCTGGAAATTTTGAAGAAAATGCACAGATGAGAAAGAGAGAGAGAGAGAGACAGACAGACAGACAGAGAGAGAGAGAGAGAGAGAAAGAGATACGATTCGCAATATTGATTTGATAAGAAAGCAGATCTCTGCGAACAACAAAAATTATCCTCAAAGATCCTGCGTGCGTTAGCTACAATTAGTTTGTCGTTTTTTTTTTTAACTTTATACGCGCATTGTGAAACACGGTTTATTATTATCCCGCCGCGCGTTTAACATAATGAGAGACTGCGAGAAATGATAAATCGTGCGCGTGAAATGAGTTCGAAAATGGCCGCCACGCAGCTTGAAAGAGCGAAAGGCGACGTTCCCCTTTTGCATAATACAAGAGACCGATCCCCCGAGAATGTGTTCGCCCTACTTTTCGTTCTCCTCGCTGTAATACATATAATAATATGCGTGTGTCCAGAAGCATGAATCCAAGTCTTGTTTACTCCATGCGTCTAATATAAAAAAAAAAAAAACGATATATCCTACGATATAGGCTTTTCTCTACACGTTTTTTTTTGTTTTTTTTTTTTTGTTTTTTTGTTTTGTTTTCTACCTGAAGGCGGAGACGTACCTGTCGAGCCGTCGCAGCCTTCGGCGTGAGAAGAACATCCGTGAACTTCTCCTTCAGCGTCTAGCCCGGCATAACAACACACAACAACAGATATATCTCGCTGCAGCTAATTATTCCTGTAACGCTAGCGCGCGCTCCATTTGCCTAAATTCCTAATCCGGTTCCCCTTCTCTCCCCTAAACGCCACACCGCCAAAACCCTCCCTTCGCTTATGTCAGCTGGCGTACACAGGCGGAGACATATGGCGACCTCCCCGCACTCGATTTCTTGCCACACGTTGTTCTTAAAGCGTAACAATCCGCGATTTGCATATCACTTGAGAACAGCGATCCGCGGCAATAAGAAACTCGGAGCGGAATTGGATCTGACTCCTTCTGTCGCGCCCTTCTTCTCCTCCCGTCGCTTCGTTCTTTTTTTTTTTTTTACATCCGATTCTTTCGCCGCTCCTCTCGCGTGTTCTCTCACGGCGGCGCATCTCTTATTTAAACATTTTTACAACCGAGAGACGGAAAGAGACGATGGAGTCTTAAAATTTCACACGGATCAAGTAGTAACTGTCCGAGGATAACGGTTATGTTTCTTCTTTATTTCCCGGCATCTGGAGATGATGGATGCAGAACGAGCGCCGGAGCGAAATGGTTTCGCGAACGGTCAAGCGCGTTTCGCGCGCTTCGAAATCGATAAGTCGCGCGTACACGTCACGTGATCGCGGTTCATATGTTATAAATGTGTATTTATATAAATTAAAGAAAAATTTGAAACTCACGGTCAATCAACTTTGATCTTTGATCTTCAGCCGAGAGCTGAGATTTGTATTTGATATAAAATTTGCCGCTATACGCTCGCTTGTATACCCAACATTCATCGGCGAATCTGTTTATCAAACTATAAATTTTAATTTGTTGAAAATGCTGCGGACCAATGCGAGAAGTGCACGCGTGAGTTTTACCAATTTACATGCTAAACAAAATTTATTCACTATTTACGCAATTTAATAAGCCAAGCATTTCATATTAAATAAATTTGTTGGTTAGTAATTTCGCTCGTGTTGATCATACATTTTACGAGTTGATCGATTAATTTAGAACGAGTTCGCCGAACCGTCTGTTCAGCTGACGTTGAATCGCGCAAAGTTTTCGCGAATCTTCGTGAAATTTCGGTTTTTTTGAACAAATCATCGGATGACACACAGAGAACGAAACAACGAAAATCAGATACCGGATTCGTTCGATGAAGCGGCTAACTACAACGATAATTACCCAACTAAATTTTGTCAAAATAATTATCACTATATATCGATATACACGCATTTCCATTTTACGATACATATGTATATACATTGATTGATGTAAACAACGAATATACACACATGCTTCATCGTAAATCTGTATATACACATCGAACAGCACAACACACGACACCATGTTTCTCATTAGCACACATTTGTTGTTTTTTTAATTTTTTTTTTTAAACAATTTTTTTTTTTTACTGTACAGCAGCGGTGAAAATCAGTGAGAATTGGAAGTCATCATTTACATGTAGAATGACGATGGATCGATCGAGATGAAAGAAACGTCGCGCGCGATAACAAATTTCTCGACCACTCTCTCGGGCGGAACTTTCCGGGACTCTCTGATCTGTACTTCGGAGGAAATTCTGCGATCTGCTGGAACCAGTGATTACCGCACTCATTTTATTCGAGAGTTTTCTAACTCAACTCATCTTCGCCCTCGGCGTTTCCTTTTATTTTTTTATTTTTTTAATTTTTTTTGGTATCTCCCTCCCTCTGTTTTATAATTGCGGAAAAAAATTCTTCTTTCGGTGAATATTTTAATTGGATCTCCGTTAAAATTTTCCGAACGAAAAACGATCAACACGAACAACATTTCGCGTTTCTGCGCCAAATTATTCCACGAAAATAAAGAGAGATCGCCATTGCGAGAGTAATGTTTTTTTTTTCGTTTTGCTTGTATCAAAATTTGTCAGTTTTTTTGTTTTACAAACTTTTCTGCTCATTTCGAATAATAATAATAAATATCAGGTGACGAAAAAAATGAGAGATAATATTTTTGTCAAACACGACGGAAAGGATCTCGACATGGCACGTGTTTGGGTTTAGTTTGTATTTTGGGATGTCCGACGTACATTAAAAGTTTTATCCTACGGATAAAAGTCAAGTTTGCGTGTGTACGTGGAGGGCAAGTCAAGCCAAGTTGTATTACCTTGTTCTTGCTTGTTCTTCTCTATAGACATGCAGGCTATACGCCACTCCTGAAGTTCGGGCGAGGGGATAAGACCCGCGGATCCAGCCGCGTTATCCTTTCGCGCCTGCCACCAGTGATGATCGTCCTTGCTGATGATCTGCAGAATATCGCCGGTCTTGAACGCGATCCCGGCCTGCGCGCAGGGTATCAGTTCGTCCTCCAACGGATCGTAGTCGAATTGCGCTCGAACGAAAATCTGTCGGTGCGAGTAAGAGTCGCGTTAAAAAAGTTTTTAGAAACGAATAAAACTCGGTCGTGGTTGTAAAAATCACTAGTAGACTCGACGTCAAGGATTTCACCGTGTGTGCTGATATACTCAATAAGAAAAAAATTTGTTACTCGAAGAGTGTAATAAAAAAAGATTGAGAGAATAAAGAAAAAATTTTACTTGACATTAACACACACACACACACACATGTACAGTAAAATCGTTGACACATCCATCTTGGATTAGTTGAATTAATTAACAACAACGGATCGTTGATCATGAGATGTGACTAGGACAATCGTTCTACGGACTATATCGATCGCTGATAAAAAAAACCTACACAGCTCTGCGCTAGAACATAGCGAACGTGTATCTAGATATTGCGAGGAAAGCGAAAGAGATGCGACGTAGTAACAAAGCGTTGGCGATAGCTCTTGCAGAGAAGAAAAATATTAATGTATATATATATATACATATATATATATATATATGTATAACATAAACAATTTGTATAAAAGAAACGTACGTAAGAAGAAAAATCAGAGCGCTCGCAAGTTTGTCCGAAAAATTGCAGTTTTGACGTTACTTTATACAAACACGGCGCAATACATAATAATTTGTACATACGAATCGTGAAAAATATTTCGCAAAATTCGCAAGTCATCTGACGTAACCAGCGATCGACTCGTAGCTCGATTTCGCCACATCGCTTATGAAGTTTTTAGGAAAGAAAGAAAAGGGTGAGGGGGGGCCACACGCAAGACAATTCAAATGAAAAAAAAAGAAAAAGAAAAAAAACAGGCATGACGTCGCTGTATGACGTTTTACAGTTGATACGCAAGGGTAATCGACACAAAGAGGTTCTTGTTTTTTGTTTCTTTTTTTCTTTTTTTTACAATTTTTCAATCGGTTACAGTTATCGGTTCGGAAAAATTCTTTCGATCGGGCGGGGACACGAGTGAGTGGTACAGTGCGAGCTCTTTGTCGTAATTTGCGTACTATAGCGCCACCGGCTTTTTGGTCATCTATAGCGATACATAATATGCAAGAGTATATTATGTGTGTATAAAAATAGGCGTACATACATACAGATAATACATGTACATGTATATATATTTTTTTTAAATATACATATATATATATATATATGTATGTGGATTCCGTTTTACAAGAAGCTCAAGCACTAGTTGCTGCACATCACGCAAAACAGACGCACACGTATTTTGCACGCGCGCCCAACACGCATATCGGGAGGGGGATGCAGAGAAGATATATGCCGCGCGGCCACTACATGAAGTGAGTGTGAGCGAACGGCGCGAGATGAACAGTGGGTTAAGTATGATGAAGAGAAGAGTATGATTTGCACAGTGAGAGAGAAGACAAGAGATGAGAGAGCGCGCGGCTCCTAGCGCGCGTATTTCATTCTTCACGAAACGCAGGGGTTTAGTTCATATATAAACGCAGGATGTATGTGTTTTCATATATGTATATATATATGTGTATATATATATATATATATGTGTGTGTGTGTGCGTGCGTATTACACATGTGTGAAGAAGGACTGACGTGTAGGAGAACGAAAGGGAGGAATGAGAACATTCATCGATTTCTCGTACGAATATTACTCTCGCAGTCCGCCCGATATTTCACGTATAATTGTATCGCTTTTAATTACAACTAAGAATTTTCAGGAATATATCCAAAAATCAGAGCATCGACAATCCCGGATTAATTAACGCGCGTGCACTAATTAAAGCGCGTCACGTCGGGAACGAGAGAATTCGCGAGTGAAGAGCACCGGCTGAACACACATTCTGCGGCTTTTCGTCCCGGTGCGACTGAGCATTTTGAAATATTTTAAAAGCGCGTTTGTTTCTTTCATAAGCACAAAGAATCGGACAACACATTGAATATATACAAAAGCACACAAATCTTTCAATTTAATATTCGTACAAGTGTATGATGAATTTTTTTTTTTATGATATGTATCGATTGAATGTAATTATTTTATTATGACAACCGTCGTTTGTTGCGACGTTAAATTCGGGAATCACAATTCATAATTATTCCATTAAAAATAATAACTTTGTAAAATGTATATACATGTTAACGTGAAAAAAAAATTCATTAAAACATTTAGAAAAAAAAACTATAAATATGAAGACGATATACGTATTAAAACGTTTCAAAGTTTCATGCGTTGTTGACACAAAAATTGTTGATTGTGCAATAAAAAGTTATTTAGAAAAAAAGACTATTAAATTTGTAACTGTAGATAAGGAGAAAAAGGCGCTCTTTTTTAAAGGGTGAAAACAAACACAGGTGACAGGTGTGAGAAGCAAAATTTCAATAACTTACGTTTACTCTCTCGTACAGCGATCGCGAGCGATTTTAAGTTCTAGTTTTCGGAAATCTTGCCGAACACGCGCGAGAGGCATCTGCAAGTCTTATGTCGTACTTTCTCGCGGAACATAATCCTTAACACATTGTGACTCCGAAGCCCGTATAACCGTCGTCTACACGTTTTCAGAAGTGCTACGTCTACGCCAGCAGCATGTCAGCGAGTGCTCTCGTCGAAAATACACATATATATATATATATATATACATATATATATAAGTTTTGTTGAAGCATGAGAAAGAGAGAACCGTTTCTCCGCGTGTTTCTCAAGCAGGACGATCACGTTTTCGCGAATTACGTCGAGTGCTTTGAGAAGCGAGAGAGAAAAATTTTTTTTTTTTTTTTAGGCAAGAAATACACAGGCGCCCAGATTAAAAGAGTCATAGAAATGATGAGTAAGTAAATATAATACTGATGAGAAATAAACATATAGAGCGAAATTGTTGTATCTATCAAAAATTCAAGAATAAAAACGAACACAAACCAAAAACCAGTCTAAAGAGCAAACTATTTTTTTTCAGTTCAGAGTTTCTAATATATAAAAAAGATAATAATAATAAAAAAAAAAAGATAAATCCTGTACGCTACGGAAAAACTATGGATTTTTTTTTATTTCTAAGCATTCCTCTGAGCGTCCATGCGAATAAGGAGAAATTCTCGTACGTGGACACAGAAGCGAACATGTCGTACGTGTTTCTCGAGACCTTCCGTCGCAAAAAAAAAAAAGAATCGCGGAAGTAGAAAAGAAAAATCGTTCGAGTTCGCGAAGTTTTATTATTCGCGAGTTCTATATTTTTCTTTTTTTTTTTTTTTTTCTTAGCGATGGCGTGTAAGAGGTGATAGGAGCAGAGACAGAGAGGCATATAATGTATATACATATACATATGAATGTATATAATATATATATATATATATATAAGTATTATATGTACGCATAGCCTTCTAACTACAGCAGTCCAATCACACCAGATCAAGTGGCGGTACTTACTAACACTGGCAGAGGCTTAATCCTGAACAACTAGAGTGTTGAGGAAACAGAAAAAAAGGAAGATCAATTAATTAACATGTTCAATAGTCGCACCAAAAAAAAAGCGTAATACGGAATTGTTTTCTTTTTTTTTTTTTTTTCATCCCGAGGCCTCACCTCCCGCGCCCAGTCGCGCGAGGGGAGAGGAAAAGAAAGACTTGACACAATCAACGATTGAAGAAAAAAAATATCACAAAAAAAAAAGAGAGACAGCACCTACAGTTGAGTCGCACGCGCGTCAAACGCTTCCGAGATGCACGGTGCGTAAAAATTGCTGTGTGTGTAGCACATGCAGGCATTTTTGCTAAAAAAAAAAATAGAGACTCCTCGTTATTATCAAGACTGATGTGTGGTGGTATTTCGTATTCTCGACACGAGCGTTGAGCCTTCTACGCATAATCTACGCCGTTTCTAATTCTTTAAAAAGAGGAGAAGAGGAAGGAGGGAGAAAAACTAGCGTAACAGAACTGGTAATGGTGTGGAGAAGTTCGCATTTCATATTTCGGTGTCGACTTCCGATGCCGGAAAAGTGGCGGTTTCACTGCAATTTTTTGAACTCGCTATAAAATTACGTGTCAACTTTGCAACGGCTTAAAAGAATTTTTACACCGAATCGGCAGATATTGTTTATCGTACTAGAATTGTTTTATATTGAGGAAAAAAAAACGACTTATCGCGCGCGATAACGTGACTTTTCGATATCTCCGTGAAGCGTATGCGCGTAAATTATCGTAATTAAGCCGGATACGCGCGCCCAAACACCTGCTGTGTGCCGAGCGTGTGCGAAGTAATTTCGAGCTCGCTCGCAGCTCTGCGGCACACGTGTGTGAGGGCGCGGAAATGCGAGTTTTGGCGAACGAAAGAGAGAAAACAGAGAGAGAGAGAGAGGAAACTCTCTCGATATGCCGGGAAAAGTTGGGGCGGGGAGGAATCAAAGCGGCACTTTGGCGTACAAGTTAGTAACGTACGAATGTGTGTTCTCGTGATACGCTTCAGCGTTAGAAGAGAGGAAGAAAGAAAGAGAGAGAGAGAGAGAGAGAAATAATACTTTTACGCGCGTGTTGTGTGTGAAAATAAAACAAAGCTGCGGTGTGGGCAAAAGCTAACGGAAGTTTTCCGCTTTGTTTATCTCCGCCCAAAACCGCGTGGAGAAAGGTGTGCAAATTACATCATCGTCGTCGAAAATAACGCGATAATTTTAGACGTCCTCCGGGATTTCGCAAACGATCGGATTTATATAAATAAAAGATCGTTTACGTTCTCTTACGTTCGAGAGATATTTTTTTTTTTCTGCGCCTCAAGACGTCTCTTTAGGCTTTCTTCGCTCGTGACTTCATTGTCACGCCGCGGCCGTTCGCCAGCAAAATGCTTTTTACATCCTAGAATGACGAGCAATGATAACGGGATTTTTATATATAATACAAGGGAATGAATATCAAAAATACACGTAAATATGTACAAAACATCTAATTACTATTATAAAAGGAAAATAGCACAAGTTTCGAAGCATCGAAATAATGTACAGAGAAATAAAAAAATTTTAAAAAATAAAAAAATAAAAAAACAGAACCTGTGGAATCGGCTTCATAATAAAATTTCAACTCAGTCAACGCGGTCAACTTGAATTTTATCTTTACTCTTCGCGGGTGTTCAATGTTAAACACAATTACGACGTGATATTAACGCCTGAATTACCACCGGAAACATAGTTCGCTCGCTCGAGTTTCAACAAACCGCGTTTATTTGTTAAACAACAACGTCAACAAACTGCATCATCAGAAGCGTGAAATAATGCGGCGAGACAAATTAAACCTTGAATTTAATTATTCGCGCAAGTATGCGAGTATCGCAACCGCGACCGCTCCGCGATATGACGTTTTTGACAGATCGATAGTAGTAGACCTCGATCACACACACGCATAATTTTCACCCGAACAAACTTCTCCCACTTTCCTCCCCGACGAAGGTTTCCGATAGAATCCATATTCCGCGAGAAATTTCTATTCTATCTGATTACAAATTCCTATCTCTCTCGCTTCGATTCCGAACGACGGGGAATAATGACGAACGAGTTTTCTTTTATGAAACCGATTCCGAGGAGAAGAGAGAAAGAGCAACGACGACGCGCGTCCTCAAACTTCAGGCCGCGCTATTCGACGAACAAAGTCAGCCGCGGCGGTGTATATATATATGCCGCAATACGATTGTGTGCACTATCCCATCCCGTTTCCATAGTAACGTCTCGCCAAGAGAGAGAAAGATAGAGGACAGTGCATGGACACATGGGACGACATACGGGTTTCGTGCATTGGAAACTGCGTTTTCTTTTTTTTTTTTTTTTTTTTGGTTTTTCACATCAAAGAAGGAAACGGGAAGCGAGCGATGTTGGGAATGGTCGTGCAGGAGGTTTTGACTGTGGTATGCCGTTGATGGGATTTTCATGGAGGAGGAGGAGAGCGAACACCGGGAAAAGACAATTCTACTCAGTGATATAGCAGGTACTGCGACTATCGACAACTCGTCTGGTGGACTGACTGCTGATGCTGCTGAATCCTCTTGTCGATTTCCATCGGGACCCCGGAACTATCCGCCTCGCAAGAGCGAGCGCTTCCCGGGCGCGCGAAGGCAAAGAGGGGAACGGAACGAGGGGCGGGGGGGGGGGAGGAATGAAAAGAGAGAGAGAGAGAGAGAGAGAGAGTCTTTGTATCGCGAAGCAGAATAAACCCGGGCTGAAAATTTCGCAGCGGGACGGGATTTCTATCGAGGCGGATTCCGCTCGATTGTGCTAACAATGCACACACCGCCACCGCCGTCGTTGCGCACTTTTCATCATCGATTTCAGCCGTGATTGAAAAAAATACACGTATATACACGAGCGGCGCGATCGTGTCCTCATCGATAATGCGGCGATATTGTCTTTTAATTTTAACGAAGACGGAAAATTCTGTTGTCGCGCAACAAACAATCGCGAGCAATATGTCTTTCTTCGCGGGCGATCTTAAATCAACTCAAAAATCGGATTCAGCTCTGCTCCGCGACACGTTTCTTTCAAATGGGGGGGGGGAAGAATAAAGGCGAGGGAAGAAAAGATTCTATAAATTGGATCGTAAAAAACGTCACACAGATGATGGGAGGAACACAGATACATAAAGATTACCTATTTTTTTTATCCACGCATACTGCAATTAATTTGTGTGTGTATGTACGTGTGTGTGAAAAAAGTGGTGCGTGAGGGGTGGACATGTGCGACACACATAAGGGTGTGGAAATAAAGATCGCAATTACCGAACATCTTTCGATCATTTCGTTCGCGCGGATCTACTACGCCGGGACAGAGACCAATCCCAGCGAGTCGCTCTCTTTCGAATTTACTCCTCGCAAAACATTCGCCTGGCGCGATGCGAAATTTCATAGACGCTTCCCCGCGCGCGCGCGATCGTCAGAAATGCGATCGTCGCACGCTCGTTGAGAATCGTTTCTCGGGGAATATACATCAATCCTCTTCGCGCGAGAAGAGCGGAGATATGTCACAAATATCGAAAGTCGTTCTTTCGGCGTCGTCGGTGAGCAGACGATACGCACGTGGGAATGCGATCCGAGAAACGTGCGCGAGGTTGGGGAATCCGTTCCGAGACGAACGAATACAGAATTTTCTGTATCGCCGAGCATGCGTTTAATTTGTGTAAAATTTAAACGTAATTTGTATCCCCGTTTTCAAAAGTATCTCCGAGAAAACCACATCATCGTGGGAAGAGAAACGCGTCGAAACATTTCAGTCTCTGTTCAAAAATTTCTTCGTAAATAATAACAAAAAAGTTTGTCGTAAACTATTTTTGTCGTATGTCAAGTTTCAATTATCGTCTTGATTTGTTATCGCGAAATCAATTCGCAAATAAAGTAAACTTGTTTTCGAAAAAAAAAGAAAAAAAACGTCGTTCGAAATTGATCTTCCGTGTTCATCCAATTCCGGAAGATCGAACTAACGTTCTCGGGACGTCTGACGAAATCTGCGGGAAACTCTCTCTCGCGCTCGAGACATTTCGCTCTCGAGATGCCTCCTCGCGCAGAGCGATAAAGTGTCAACAGCGATCGTTGCAGGCGCGTGATCGTCGCAAGGTGCGAGAGCGATAAACGGGCGGTAATAGGGGTTGCGACAATACGGAGGGCATGTTTGACACATCTGAGCGTGCGCGCGCGCGCGCGCGTGTGTGTATGTGTATCGTTCGCTGATTCTATTTCTATGACGGACAAGAGGTCACGTTACAGGTGACGTGCCGACGACTCTCGTGGTGTATTCCAGCGGTTCATGCTTTATTATATCTTCGTACAATGTGAGTGGTTGGGAGGTGAAGGTAACAACGCCACTGCCGTTACGCTCTCGCCGATGCTGTTGCCGCTTTCGCCTAAGGGTGCGATCGAGCAAGTGTGTACGTGTGTGTGCGTGTGTGTGTGTGGAGGACCCGAAGAGAGTGATAGCTTCGGAAATGCAACGTGAGCGGTTCGGGGGAGGGGCGTGAAAGAGGGTGCTTATCGTTACCGCGCGAGGGTGCATCGCTTCCCGTGTAACACGTGGGAGATAGTGTGCCCTGCCCTCGTTTTGCTGCTCGTCATCGCCTGGGGGAAGGAGGGAATGTTACGCTGTTTATTCGTATAACGGAACGTGTTGCCGCTCCGCACCGAGAAAGTGCGCGCGTGCGCGCGCACTAATTATCGGTCGTAGAATTAGTCGTGTTTCCCTTCAACGAATACAACACGGACGCGTGAGACAGCGAACGATTAACTTTTCCAGCGCTCGTTTGGGTGTTTTTTTTTTTTTTTTTTTT